CTCAAACCCAGCCTGAGATACAAATATCTCCCATCTGTCTCCCTCTGAGCTCAGAGCTCTCTGCCTCCAGCTCTGTCAGGGTCACAATGCTCTCCCAGTCCTTGCTCCTCTGGCTGCTACTGCTCTGGCCTCAAGGTAAGACTGCCAATGACCCATAGTTTTGTACCACTTTAGAGACAGAAGTTTTCCAGTGGGCATCTCTGACTCAGTCTGAGGGTAAGGGAACTACTCCTGCATTCACTGTCTCTACACAGGTTGCTTCATTCACTGCAATCTCTTTCTTCTTCTCCTTTAGAATCCCAGGCAGCCATTGAGCTGACCCAGTCTCCAGCCTCCCTGTCTGTGGCTCCAGGAGACCAAGTCACCATCAGCTGCAAGGCCAGTTCCAGCATTAGCAAGTGGATGGCCTGGTACCAGCAGAAACCAGGACAGTCTCCCAAGCTCCTGATCTATGATGCTTCCACCCTGTACTCTGGGGTCTCTGCCCGGTTCAGTGGCAGTGGCTCTGGGACAGATTTCACCCTCACCATCAGTGCAGTGGAGGCTGAGGACGTGGCAGATTATTACTGTTTTTCAGTATTATAGTACTGCATTCCCACAGTGTTTCAGCCCTGAACAAAAACCTCTCCAGGATGCTCAGCCCTTCAGCAGAGGGCAGCAGCTGCTTCCCCAGAGTCACAGGCTTGGAGCAACCACTGCCCTCAGGGGAGAATTGGGTCCAATTCAGCCCTGCTGCAGGAGCCCTTTGTCTCAGGGGCCCTGGTTGAGGTAGAAAGACTAAGAAGAGAGAGAAAAAGGAGGAAGAGAAAGAATCTTCTGCCTGGTGTGCTTTAGCCAGGGACCACAAACTTTGCCATATCGTCTGCTTCTTATTCTTGCTCTGTCCTCTGCTCCCAAACCTAGGTCCTGAGAGTGAGCTGGTGCTCAAGAGGAATTGTAGACAGTGCAGGGTAATGGGCCTGGACTCTCAGCTCTGTCTGTTTTTCCCCAGGCAGGATAGACAAGGTGTGTGGAACAGTCCCTAAAGTACTTGAGGCAACCTCATCTATAGGATGGATCCAGTCTTTCTCCTTACTCTGGGAACTCACTGGCACTGTCCAATCATTCTTGCCTCTCATCCTCCAGAGTAGATGTTTGAAAACCTCATTTGAGGACAACAGGCCTGCTATCCCTATTCCCACAGGGCCAGGATACTGCCCTCCCCATGAAGAGGGGCAGGCCTAGACAAAGCAGCAGCAGCACTGGAGCCAGATCAGAGATGGCTGGAGGAATTAGCATGCATGACCACAAGCATACACGCAGTCAAGGGGACCAAAAGAGTCAGATGTACATACACACACACAGAGGCACACACACACACATATACACATCCAGACACACACACATATATACACACACACAGGTGCACACATACATATACACACAGGCACACACACACACACACACATGCACACACACACACACACACACACACACACACACAAAACATATATATATATATATAGGTAACCAGGTTGAAGGTAACCAAGGGGTCTCAAACCCATCAGTGAATTAGCGGGTGTCTACCCCAAGGCTGTGAAGGCTTCCCCTGGTGGAATGGGCAGATGAGAACAATCTGTTCCAATGGCCATGAAGGCAGGTGAAGCAGAGCCGTGGAGCTCTTGGAGCTTGGTTAGACATCAAAGAAGCCAAGGTCACCCACTGCATGTTCAGCCATCACCAATGGACTTTGATCACAGTGGAGGGGAGAGAGAGGCTGACAACTTCACTCAACTGTGCTGCACTTAAATGCAAATCACACAGGAATCAAATGACATCACCCATACCATTTTGCCATTTTTACCTGTCTCAGAGATCTGTGGTGACAGGAAAATGATGAAGCAGCAAGTGCAGATATACTGGGAGCTGTAGTCACAACCCTGCTCCAGGCGACTCAGACCACAGGGTCATTTCTCACTTGAAGCAGCAGTGGCATTCAGCAGCTTCCTGGGTGTCTGAGCAGCCTTTTTGAAGGACCACACTGTTTACCTCCTGGTGGGAGGAAAGGGCTAGTAAAGGTGACCTAAAAATTCTCAACTTACCCAACCCTGGCCTGTTACCATTACAGGAAGGGATCCCACCCTGTGGTTGAAACATAAAAAATGTACAAAAATGGCTGCAAAGATGATTCTACTCACCATAAGTAAAAGGAATGTGCACACACTCAGAGACAACACCAAATCCAATAGACCTGAAAGAAAAACAGCTCTTGTTGCAAGGGAACTCAGCAGGTATCCCATCCAAATAGCGGCCCTGAATGAAACTAATTCATGTACCTGAGAGAAGAATCTTGTAAAAATTGGAGGGTCCAAACAATAAAATGAGCTCTTCTACCTTTTATAATTATCAAACAGACACTTTAATAATAGGAAAATTACTTCATTTTCTTTGCCATTATCCATAGAATTTATGTGCAAAATCCACTGAGAACTTTTCACCAAAACATGCTCAAAGCTTGGTTTCCATGAGATATAAGTTTATGCATCTACATAGACATTAATCATAGCAATCATAATAAGGCAAGTTATAGAGATCTGTATAGTTCTTAGAGAAAATGGTCTAATCCTGTTGCTTTTCTCAAAATTTACTATTCTATTTAATTAGAAAATGCTCACGTTACATCTTTGTCTCATTACTTTGTCTAATGATTTCCCCCTAAGCAGGATATCATCTCTATATTATTATTTGACAAAAAAATGTAGGTTAAAATTATTAGATATTCATACTTGCTTCCTATTGTAATAACTCAGAGATACTCTAGTATCACTCTATTATTTAATAGATTTAGTATTGTATTTACAAGACTTCTTGATTATAAGAATTTGCTATAAAAGGAAAAAGAGAGACATAGTTTGAAAAATGTCCTATATCATGACAGAAAGGGAAAACTCCCTCAGCTATGGTTGATTCCAGGCATGAGTCATATCTCACAGCTAATCTTGTAGTCACAATGTGTTACAAGCAAGGCTCATGATTAACCAGTTGGGAATTTCCCTTTTCAGAAAGGAAATACAACAATGAGGAAAAGAATCAGGACGATCTACCAAGGCTCTGCCACTATCATCCCCAAAACTTTTCCCCAGTACAGACATTCACTTTTAGCAGTTCCCAGACTGCAGTACATGCCTTTTTTTACCATTACCTTCAGGACAGTTCACACAACTATCCCTATAAGCAAAGCTTAAAACAATAGTAAATTATACTCCTTAGAATTTTTAATGTAAATAGCAACATTTCACTAACCACAACTAAAGGCTTGAATATCCTTTCTGACATTTTTCTAAAAGTTAGTGTTTCATTTATCCTTTATGTGCATGGGGGATTATGCAGCCATAAAGCAAGGAAGTGCCCCTGACTCAGGATGTCTGTGCAAGCTTAATCTGATCTTCTGGTTGCTGACACAGCAGGAAAATTTCAGGTTCACTCAGAGACCATCCCAGAGGATTGTTGGCATCTCAGTCCAGAAGCTTAAATTGTCTTCTCTGATTGGCCACTCCTATTTTTGCCTTCATTGGGTAGTGAAGAGCACAAGCAGGTCTCACATCCTATACACCACATCTAAGCTCAGCAACTCTAGGGCATCCCACAGTCTTCAGGGAGTCAGAGGCAATAACACCCCAAGGCACAGGTGACAATTCCTGACCTTGTACTTCCACACACCCAACATTCCCATCTCCCACCTCCATGACCTTGTACTGACCCCAGGCAGGCCCTTGTCTACCTTTTAGAATCCTCAGGGCCTTTCAGCTCCAGCCTTCTACCTGAGAAGGTGGCACCACTTTCCCCCTGAAAATTCCCTCATATTCATTTTGCAGATACTTAGATAAGAATATGTCGACTATCCAGATGAAATGTATCCATAATGTCTACCACAGAGGAATCATGTAATAAATTGCTTGTTGAATAAATGATTGATTAATTGATTGATTGACAAGTCATACTTAACAAAGGAGTGTCAAGTCCTGAAATCAATCAAGCCACAAGCAGAGAAATGGAGGTCCTAGGTAGCAAACCTGCTACCCTAGTAGATGTCCCATGAGTGCCCAGCAAAATGGATTTCCAATCTGTAGATCTATGAAAACTTTTTTAATCTTTAGGAAGGAAGAGGAGGAGCTAAAGACCTGGTCATGAAATGTAAGCTACTTTGGGCAATCTGAGCAAGGAAAACCACTTCATTTTCACTGTTTTGTCCTTCATGAATCCTAATACATGGGATAAGAACGTCAGGGCCAACCTGGCTCCAGCTGGTTTTGTCTACAGGGAAAGCTCCCAAGGTGGGGGCTGGTCGTTGTTGTTTGTTTCTTGTCGTTCTTTCTGGAAGAGGACCAATGACATCAGGAGGGGACAGCTTGACTTCCAAGTGAACTGGACCTAAGTGAGGCAGGGCTGTGCCAAGACATCAGTGGAGGAAAGCAGAAGGTGTACTTTAATAGGAAAAGAGCAATTGAATAACCATTTTGCTGCTTTTGGCCTCAGTTTCCCCATCTACAAAAAAAAAAGGTTAAGACCAGCAATCTTTTTTTTTTCTTTTTAGCTTTGAGAAAGATATAACAAAAACACAGAAAAGAAGGATAAACGTTTTTCCTCAACAACACAAGGGACACATTCTCCTCCCAACACATAGTAGACCACAGAATCTCCAAGTCCCCCCCAACACACACACACACACACACACACACACACACACACACTCCCGTCTCCATTCCATCTCAGCCTGGGCCCTTAACTTTCTATAAATTTTGTTACTTCCCTGGTCTTAGTTTTCTTTCTAACTCAGCTCCTTCCTCTCTTTCTTCATTCTGTTCTTTGTACAGACCCTTGTCAACACTTGGTCTCTAGACCCAGAACCTTCGGATCTCTCCTGGGAAGGTAGACAGGCTTCCCCTGCTTATAACCACAACTGGCCACCTGCCACAGCACCACCATGTCCAGCCTAAGGCAGGTGCCTTTAAAACAGCAATAAAAACAGAGGCCATGGGAGGTGAAACCTTCCAGGAAATACAATTGGGCCACTCCCTCCAATGTGAATATAACCACTCCTGGGGTCCTTCAGTTCAGGCTGGGCCAGCACTGTTTTGCATGGTGATATCCAAGGCACCTTCTCAAACCCAGCCTGAGATACAAATATCTCCCACCTGTCTCCCTCTGAGCTCAGAGCTCTCTGCCTCCAGCTCTGCAAGGGTCACAATGCTCTCCCAGTCCTTCCTCCTCTGGCTGCTACTGCTCTGGCCTCAAGGTAAGACTGCCAATGACCCATAGTTTAGCATCACTTTAGAGACAGAAGGAGTTTTCCAGTGGGTATCTCTGACACAGCCTGAGGGTAAGGGAACTACTCCTGCATTCACTGTCTCTACACAGGATGCTTCATTCACTGCAATCTCTTTCTTCTTCTCCTTTAGAATCCCAGGCAGCCATTGAGCTGACCCAGTCTCCAGCCTCCCTGTCTGTGGCTGCAGGAGACCAAGTCACCATCAGCTGCAAGGCCAGTTCCAGCGTTAGCAAGTACATGGCCTGGCTCCAGCAGAAACCAGGACAGTCTCCTAAGCTCCTGATCTATGCTGCTTCCACCCTGGAGTCTGGGGTCCCTGCCCGGTTCAGTGGCAGTGGCTCTGGGACAGATTTCACCCTCACCATCAGTGCAGTGGAGGCTGAGGACGTGGCAGATTATTACTGTGCTCATTATAGTAATTATGTATTCCCACAGTGTTTCAGCCCCGAACAAAAACCTCCCCAGGCTGCTCAGCCGTTCAGCAGAGGGCAGCAGCTATGTCCCCAAACTCACAGGCTTGGGGCAACCACTGCCCTCAGGGGAGAAAGGGGCCAATTCAGCCCTCCTGCTGGAGCCATTTGTACCAGGGACCCTGGCTGTTGTAGAAAGAGTAAGAAGAGAGAGAAAAAGGAGGAAGAGAAAGAATCTTCTGCCTGGTATGCTTTACCACGGACCACAAGCCTTCCCTGGGGGTCTGTTTCTCATTCTTACTCTGTCCTCTGCTCTCAATCCTAAGTCCAGAAACCTGAGCTGCTTCTGAAGAGGAAACTGTAGACAATGTAGGAGAACGACCCTGGACTCTCAGCTCTGGCTGCTTTGCCACATCCAGGACAGCCAAGGTGTATGGAACAGTCCCTAAAGTTCTTGAGGCAACCCCATGTTTAGAATGGATCCAGTCTTTTTTCCTCACTCTGGGAACTCACTGGCAGTGTCCCGTCGTTCATGCCCTGCCATCTGCAGGAATAGATGTCTGAAAACGTCATTTGAGGACAACAGGCCTGCTATCCCTATTCCCATAGGGCCAAGATAGTGCCCTCCCCATGATAAGGGGCAGGGCCTGGAAAGAGCAGCAGCAGCATTGGAACCAGATCAGAGAGGGGGGAGAGGAATTAGCATTCATGACCACAAGCACACAAGTGGTCAAGGGGACCAAAGCAGTCAGAGACACACACACACACACACACACACACACACACACACACATACACACACACACAGAGGTTAACCTGATTGAAAGCAACCAAGGAGTCTCAATCCCATTGGTGAATTAATGGCATGTCTAACCAAAGTCTGCGAAGAAGTCCCTTTGTGGAATGGCAGATGAGAACAGTCTTTTACAGTGGCCACAAAGGTGGCTGAAGCAGGGACTATGGAGCACTTAGAGCTTGGTTAGACATGGAAAATGCCAAGGTTGCCCACTGCATGTTCAGCCATCACCAGTCATCTCGACTCTGTCCTGCCACTAGACTATGATCACTCTGGAAGGAGTGAGGCTGACGACTTCATGCAGCTCTGCCTCACTTCAACAAAATTAACACATGAATCAAAAGACATCACCCATACTATTTTTACATATTTCAGAGCCCTGTGGCGACAGGCAAGGACAAATAGCAGGTATTATTATTTAACAAATTCCAACAATTTTTGCCTTAAGTAGTAACATTTCACTAACCACAAGTTAGGGGTTCAATATCCTTCCTGATGTTTCCCTAACACTTAGTGTTTCATTTACTTGGATGGGGGATTCTGAGGCCATAAAAGCAAGGAACTGCCTCTGACTCAGGAAAGCTGTGCAAGATTAATCTGATCTTCTGGTTGCTGACACAGCAAGAAAATTTCGGGTTCACTCAAAGACCATCCCAGAGGATTGCTGGCATCTCAGTCCAGAAGGGTTAAATCATCTTCTCTGACTGACCGGTTCACATTTTTGGCCTTCATTGGGTAATGAAGGACTCAAGCAGGTCTCACATCATATACACCAAGTCTAAGCTCAGCAAACTCTAGGGCATCCCATAGCCTTCAAGAAGTCAGAAGGCAATAACACCCCAAGGCACAGGTGACAATCCCTGACCTTGTTCTTCTGCACACCCAACATTCCCATCTCGCACCTCCATGACTTTATACTGGATACATGCCAGGCAGGCCCTCCCCTCTACCTTTTAAAATCCTCAGGGTCTTACAAGTCCAGGCTTCTACCTGAGAAGGTGATGTCACCTTCCCTCTGAAAATTACCTCCTATTTATTTTCAGATGCTTAGATAAGAATATGTTGAACATCCAGATGCAATGTATCCATAAAGTCTACCACAGAGGAATCATGTAATCAATTGCTTCTTCGATAAGTGATTGATTAATTGATTGATTGATTGACAAGTCATACTTAAGAAGGGACTATCAAGTCCTGAAATCACCCAGAGCCACAAGTAGAGAAATAAAGCATCTTTAATGGAGATCCTAGGGTAGCCAGCCTGCCCCTGGGAGATGTCCCATGAGTGCACAGCAAAAAGGATTTACCAATCTTGAGATCCATGAAAAGTTCTTTTCCCTTTAGGAAGGAAGAGGAGAAGCTAGTAAGCCTTAGTCATGAGATGGCAGCCACCCTGGTTTATCTGAGCAAGGAAAAATGCTTCATTCTGGTTATTTTGTCCTTCAGGCAATGAATCCTAACCCATGGGGTATGAAGGTGAGGGGCCAAGCTGGCTACAGCTGGTTTTGTCTACAGGGAAAGATTCCAAGTGGGGCTGGCTGTTGTTGTTTGTTGTTTATCCTTCTTTCTGGAAGAGCATCAGTGACAACAGGTGGGGGTTGTCTTGACTTTCCAGTGAATTGGATTTAAGTGAGGCAGGGGCTGTGCAAAGACATCAGCCTCACTCTCCCCCTCTGACCCATCAGAGACCTGTGCTAAGACATAGGTCAAGATGATAGGCAAGATGGCCCCGATGTAGTGGGAGAGAGGTCTTTCCCAGGTCTCAGTTTTTCATTTCTCTTTCTCAGTTTTCAGGAACCATTTATAGTCGTCCTGATCTATATCTTGCCACTGGACCCCCATGGCTTTACAGAAGAGCGTGAGGCTGGTTACTTTGCACAGCGCTGCCTCACTTAAATCCAACTCCCTGGCAAGTCAAGACATCACCTTCCCGATTTCATTGGTCCCCTTGAAGAATAAAGGAAAAATCAGTTGTAAATAACTGGAAAAATATCAGCTGCTCATGGATATGCTTGGCTAATATAATCAAAATGACAATTCTACCCAAATTAATTTACTTGCTGATTGCCATTCCAATCAAAGTACCAAAAATAATAATTTTGTTCTGGAAGAACAAAAGATCCAGAATATCAAAGGAATTAAATGAAATGCAATAGAAGGTGGCCTAGGCGTACCAGATCTACAACTATGAAAAAGCAGCAATCATCAAAACTACTTGGTACTGGCAAAGAAATAGAGTGATAGATCCCTGGAATAGGTTAGTTACACAAGACGCAGAAGTCAATGACAATAATAATCTACTACTTGATAAAATCAAAGACTCCAGCTTTTGGGATAAGAACTATTTGACAAAAGCCCCTAGGAAAATGAAAAATAGTATGGCAGAAATTAGGCACAGACCAATCTTAAACACCATATCAAGATAGAGTCAAAATGGGTACATGATTTAGATATAAAGACTGATACTATAAGCAATTAGGAGAGCAAGGAAGAGTTTACCTGTCAGATCTATGGAGCAGGGAAAAACTTATGACAAAACAAGAAAAAGAGAACATTATGAAATGCAAAATGGTGATTGTGATTATATTAAGTTAAAAGTTTTTGCAGAAACAAACCCATACAACCAAGATTAGAAAGGAAGCAGAAAGCTGGCAAATAATTGTTACAGCCAATATCTCTGATAAAGGCCTCATTTCTAAAATACAGAGAGAACTGAGACAAATTTATATGAATACAAGTCATTCCCCACTTGACAAATGGTCAAAGGATATGAAAAGGCAATTTTCAGATGCAGAAATTAAAGCTATCTATAGTCACATGAAAAAAAATGTTCTTAATCACTATGGATTCGAGAAACGCACATTAAAGAACTCTTAGGTACCATCTCACACCTGTTGTATCAGTTAACATGACAGAAGAGGAAAATGATAAACGCTGGAGAAGACGTGCAAAAATTAGAACACTAGTGCATTAATGGTGGAGTAGTAAGCAGGTGCAAAAATTTAGAACTCAAAATCTTATGAAAGTGGATGTTGAAAAGTAAAAATAAATGTAGTTTTTTAAAAGAATGTACTACAAACAACAATCTGTGAGGAGTAGTAGCTGCCCTACTGGGGACCCAACTGTTCAGTTCCAGCTTGGGCAATGCTCCTTCCTTCTCTCTTTCCTTCCTCATTTCTTCCATATGATGAGTCATATACTTATAAATGGGTGCTCTGACCTTCATGCCCTGAATCCTAACAGAAGGGGTGAGAATGTCAGGGGCCGACCTGGCTCAGCTGGTTTTGTCTACAGGGAAAGATTCCAAGGTGGGCTGGTTGTTGTTTATCATTCTTTCTGGAAGAGAACCAATGACATCAGGAAGGGACGGATTGACTTGCAAGTGAACTGGACCTAAGTGAGGCAGGGCTGTGCCAAGACATCAGTGGAGGAAAGAAGAAGATGTACTTTAATAGGAAAAGAGCAACTGATTAACCATTTTGATCCTTTGGCCTCAGTTTTCTCATCTACAAAAAAATAAAAAGGTTAAGACCAGCAATCTTATTTTTTTTTAGCTTTCAGAAAGATTTAACAGAAACACAGAAGAGAAGAATAAACGTTTCTCCTCCACAACGCAAGGGACACATCCTTCTCCCAACACCTAGTAGACCATACAATCTCCAAGTCCCACACCCCACACACACACACACACACACACACACTCCCGTCTCCATTCCAGCTAAGCCTGGGCCCTTAACTCTCTATAAATTTTGTTACTTCCCTGGTCTTAGTTTTCTTTCTAACTCAGCTCCTTCCTCTCTTTCTTCACTCTGTTCTTTGCATAGACCCTTGTCAACTCTTGGTCTCTAGACCCAGAGCCATCCGATCTCTCCTGGGAAGGCAGATAGGCTTCTCCTGCTTATAACCACAACTGGCCACCTGCCACAGCAACCACCATGTCCAGCCTGAGGCAGGTGCATTTAAAACAGCAATAAAAACGGAGACTATGTGAGGGGAAGCCTTCCAGGAAATACAATTGGGCCACTCCCTCCAACATGAATATAACCACTCCTGGGGTCCTTCAGTTCAGGCTGGGCCAGCACTGTTTTGCATGGTGATATCCAAGGCACCTTCTCAAACCCAGCCTGAGATACAAATATCTCCCATCTGTCTCCCTCTGAGCTCAGAGCTCTCTGCCTCCAGCTCTGCCAGGGTCACAATGCTCTCCCAGTCCTTGCTCCTCTGGATCCTACTGCTCTGGCCTCAAGGTAAGACTTCCAATGACCCATAGTTTGGCATCACTTTAGAGACAGAAGGAGTTTTCCAGTGGGCATCTCTGACACAGCCTGAGGGTAAGGGAACTACTCCTGCATTCACTGTCTCTACACAGGATTCTTCATTCACTGAAATCTCTTTCTTCTTCTCCTTTAGAATCCCAGGCAGCCATTGAGGTGACCCAGTCCCCAGCCTCCCTGTCTGTGGCTGCAGGAGACCAAGTCACCATCAGCTGCAAGGCCAGTTCCAGCGTTAGCAAGTACATGTCCTGGTACCAGCAGAAACCAGGACAGTCTCCCAAGCTCCTGATCTATTACGCTTCCACCCTGGAGTCTGGGGTCCCTGCCCGGTTCAGTGGCAGTGGCTCTGGGACAGATTTCACCCTCACCATCAGTGCAGTGGAGGCTGAGGATGTGGCAGATTATTACTGTTTTCAGTTTATAGTTCTCCATTCCCACAGTGTTTCAGCCCTGAACAAAAACCTCCCCAGGCTGCTCAGCCCTTCAGCAGAGGGCAGCAGCTGCTTCCCCAGAGTCACAGGCTTGGGGCAACCACTGCCCTCAGGGGAGAATGGGCCAATTCAGCCCTGCTGCAGGAGCCATTTGTCTCAGGGACCCTGGTTGAGGTAGAAAGAGGAAGAAGAGGAGAAAAAGGAGGAAGAGAAAGAATCTTATACCTGCTGTGCTTTAGCCAAGGACCACAAACCTTCCCACGGGGTCTGCTTCTCATTCTTACTCTGTCTCTGCTCCTAGTCCTAAATCGGAAACCTGAGCTGGTTCTGAAGAGGAAACTGTAGACAATGCAGGGGAATGGACCTGGACTCTCAGCTCTGACTGCTTTTCCCCAGCCAGGACAGACAAGGTGTATGGAACAGTCCCTAAAGTTCTTGAGGCAACCTCATCTGTAGGATGGATCCGGTCTTTTTCCTCACCCTGGGAACTCACTGGTGCTGTGCAATCATTCATGACTCCCATCTGCAGGGACAGATGCCTGAGAACCTGATTTGAGGACAACAGGCCTGTTATCCCTCTTCCTGTAGGGCCAGGATACTGCCCTCCCCATGATGAGGGGCAGGCCCTGGACAGAGCAGCAGCAGCACTGGAGCCAGATCAGAGAGGGGCTGGAGGCTAGCATTCATGACCACAAGTATACAAGTGGTCAAGGGGACGAAAGCAGTCACACACACACACACACACACACACAGGTAACCTGATTAAAGGTAACCAAGGGGTCTCAATCCCATTGGTGAATTGACGGGATGTCTAACCAAAGGCTGTGAAGATGTCCCGTTGTGGAATGGCAGATGAGAACAATCTGTTACAATGGCCACAAAGCTGTTGAAGCAGGGGCAGTGGAGCACTTAGAGCTTGGTTAGACATGGAAAATGCCAAGGTCACCCAGTGCATGTTCAACCATCACCAGTCACCTTGACTCTGTCCTGCCACTAGACTCTGCTCACTCTGGAAGAGAGTGAGGCTGACGACTTTGTGCAGCTCTGCTTCACTTAAGCAAAATTCACACATGAATCAAAACATGTCACCCATACTGTTTTTACATTTTTCACAGCCCTGTGGCACCAAGCAAGTGACAAAGAGCAGGTGCAGATACATTGCCAGGAATTTGTATCTTAAATGTTAACATTTCACTAAACACAACTGAAGGCTTAAATATCCTTTCTCATGTTTCCCTAACAGTTAGTGTTTCATTTACTTGGATGCAGAACTATGTGGCCATAAAAGCAAGGAAGTGCCCCTCACTCAGGACATCTGTGCAAGATTAATCTGATCTTCTGGTTGCTGACACAGCAGGAAAATTTCAGGTTCACTCAGAGACCATCCCAGAGGATTGTTGGCATCTCAGTCCAGAATGACTTAAATCATCTTCTCTGATTCGCCAATCCACGTTTTTGGCCTTCATTGGGTAACGAAGGACTCAAGCAGGTCTCACATCCTATACACCACATCGAAGCTCAGCAAACTCTAGGGCATCCCATAGACTTCAAGGAGTCAGAGGCAATAAAACCCCAAGGGACAGGTGACAATTCCTGATCTTGTTCTTCTACACACCCAACATTCCCATCTCCCACCTCCATGACTTTGTACTGGATAGCCCCCAGGCAGGCCCTCCCCTCTATCTTTTAGAATCCTCAGGGCCTTTCAAATCTAGGCTTTTACCTGAGAAGGTGGCATCACTTTCCCCCTGAAAATTCCCTCATATTTATTTTGCAGATTCTTAGATAAGAATATGTTGAATATCCAGATGCAATGTATCCATAATGTCTACCACAAAGGAATCATGTAATCAATTGCTTCTTGAATAAGTGATTGATTAATTGATTGATTGACAAGTCATACTTAACAAAGGAGTGTCAAGTCTTGAAATCAATCAAAGCCACAAGTAGAGAAATAAAGCACCTTTAGTGGAGATCCTAGGGTAGCCAGTCTGCCACCCTGTTGGATGTCCCATGAGTGCCCAGCAAAATGGATTTCCCAATCTAGAGATCTATGAAAACTTTCCTAGGAGGAACTAGGAATGCCTGGTCAGGAGATGCCAGCTACTTTGGGCAATCTGAGCAATGAAAACCACTTCATTCTGCTTATTTTGTCCTTCATGAATCCTAATACATGGGATAAGACCATCAGGGCCAACCTGGATCT